ATTGATAGCCTCACCTGGAGCACTTTAGAAACACTGACGTGTGAATGCTCAAATGCGTGGCAGTCTGTTCAACAGACTCCTGACCTGGTACACAAGCTTTGCTCAACCCTATTTGGGGAGGGGGGGGCAGTTGAGAAAGCCTTTTTCTCTCCCAGGTTGTGCCATGCCTGGGTGGAGGCTGCAGGAGGAGGACACATCTCTCTAGAGCAGTGTTTCTCAACCTTGGCAACTTGAAGATGTCCGGATTTCAATTCCCAGAATTCCCCAGCCAGCATTTGCTGGCTGGGGAATTCTGTGAGTTGAAGCCCAGACATCTTCAAGTTGCCAAGGTTGAGAAACACTGGTATAGAGAGATGTGTCCTCCTCCTGCAGCCTCCACCCAGGCATGGCACAACCTGGGAGAGAAAAAGGCTTTCTCAACTGCCCCCCCCTCCCCAAATTGGGTTGAGCAAAGCTTGTGTACCAGGTCAGGAGTCTGTTGAACAGACTGCCACGCATTTGAGCATTCACACGTCAGTGTTTCTAAAGTGCTCCAGGTGAGGCTATCAATGGGAGCAATGCTGGAGGAGGAACTGAGTTTGCTTTCACTGGTTCAGCCAAACTAGAACCAAGCACCTCTATTGATGTTTGAGCTAGATGAGGCCAGGAGCGCAAAGAAGTTTGCAAAAACCACAGCCTCTTCGAAGTTACACAATGTTCTCGCTCCACTATAATTTCCCATCCCATCCCTGCCTGTGACTTCCTCTTTATTGATTCTATTACCAACTAGTACCCTCTGATTTAAGACGGGACACAATCAACTGAAAATACAGGGTGCACTCTGCGGAATGAGCAGACTGTGACTGCTGCCCCCCCCCCCACACACACACTTCCAAGGCAGAGTCTCTAATGGAATCACACTCCTAATTTATTTTCCAGTTCTCAGGCATTTTGGCTTTGTGTCAAGAGAATTCCATAGTTAGGCCCTCAATCTCCAATCCGGTCTGAAGATTTTAGGATTGCATCCTGCCTGTGGACAGGTGGAATGTGGATGTGTGCATGTGTGTGTGTGTGTGTGGGGGGAGAGCATTCTGATGCAGTGTCTTCTTCCAAGGTTTTTTAATTAGAATCTACTTCATGGGAGTAGCCACTACAGCGTCAAGCAAGGGGTCGCCATTTTTAATTATTGTCGCCCAAATACGCTGAACCAGCGCGAGTGGTGCATCTGAAGGACACCTGTTCGGAGAATGCTAGCACATAGTTCGCTTGATGCTCAGGTAACCCCCTAATGAATAAAATGGCTGCTCACAAAGGCAGAAGATCTGCAATCACAACCCCACGAATTAGATTTTAGAATGAGGACTAAAACGCTAGGACATAATGGCTGCTAATTCAGGATAACTCCTGGCATGGAGTTTATGAGTTTCATTTAGCTTGTATGCCGACGTATTCCCGGAAGACTCAGGGCGGCTAACAATAAGAAGGGAAGGTGGGTACAAAAATAAAAACAACAATTAAAAATTCAGCAACAGTCATAACAT